CAGGCCCTTTGAACCTAGAGGCCTGGTCACTGGGAAATTTATATTTCTTTGGTAATTTTCTCCTCCCCATTCTATTTCTAAAATTCCTACTTAGCATTGGCTATAGACTACCTGGATTAATCCTTTAGTTTTTAAATTCTTTTCTCTCTTACTTCCCATTTTTCTGTTATAGAAGATTTACTTATTAAAAAATGTCTGTCATTTTATTTCCTCTCTCTGAAGATACCAATTTCACTTACTTCTGCTAATTTTTTTGTCCATTTTCTGCATTGTCTTTCTTTTCTTCACTCTTTCCCGCTACTTGCTTACTCTAATTTCTATCTTTCCTATGGGAGGCCTCACTCAAATGTCCAGCAATCTCTGCAGGATTGTTCACAGTAAACAGTCTCATTACAAAGCTGGAAGGAAACACAAGTGAGATGTAGCCATGTTGAGCTTCACTCCAGAGTGACAGGGAGACCCCTCCCCAGGCCACCAGTCAGTATTTTAGCAGAACGATTTCTCCCAGAAAGACTCATTCTTCTTCCTGAAGGCAGGATGGGGTTATTGCACACCTGGATGGTGGCCCCCTGGGAGCAGGTGGGGATGGATCCACATGCACTTTCACATAACTCGCTGTCCGTCTCCCAGAATGCCATCTCTCCCTGAGGTCTGCACTGCTACAGTTAATTGCTCCAGAATCAACTTGTGGACCTCGTGGCCAAGCAAGGGCTGGGGTACTGTAGAGAGTAGTTTTCACCTGGCTTTGTGGAGACAAGAGGAAGGGGAACTTAAAAACCCTTCAAACCAGTTTCGATTTCCATCTCCACTCAGCAGAACCTGGTCTCTCCCAGCTCTAAGCCTTTCCGGGATTCTGAAAATACATCTGTACCCTCCTCTGATCTGGTGGGGCTAATCCCCTCTCTGTATGAGTCACGTGCTTCATCTGATTTTCATAGTCACAAAGTGTATGCCTTACCTCTCATCTATTATTATATCCTTTTCTGTTCTCTTTGACCAATTTCTCTTTTCTTTCCTGTCATTTTAGTAGAGTTTCAAGAGGCCATCCACAGGCCTGAGTGTAAAAATGAACATGTGTGCTGACTATGTCTCTTTTATTTATTTATTTATTTTTTGTGTGGTGCTGGAACCCCTGTAAAATATAAATTTTAAAGTCATAAATGTAGTTTTTGATCCCTAAGATATTTGGTTAGATTTTCCTCTTGCTACTTTTCTTTTGGGGGGGGCGAGCTAGGCTTGAGGTCCTGGGCCCAAGCAATCCTCCTGCCTCAGCTCCTTCCCTGATTGTTAGCTGAGATCACATCTGGCACCCTCTTGGGGCTTTTGACAAAATGAGAACTTCAGCAATGGCAGCCATTCATCTAGCAGTAATCCTTAAGATTTTAATCAAGGTGAAAATAAAGCCAGGTGTGGTGTCTCTTGCCTCTAACCTCAGCAGCTCTGGAAGTTGAGGCAGGAGGATTGCAAATTGAAAGTCAGCCTTGGAAATTTAGTGAGGCTGTAAACAACCTAGTGAGATCCTGTCTCAAAATAAAAAA